CACACACACACACACACACACACACACACACACACACACACACACACACACACACACACACACACACACACGTACACAACCACACAGCTGCAGCTTCCTGTTGCATTCAGCAATAAATACATTTATTTTGACTTTATTTTTTTAACAGTCAGAACATTTTTATGACAGGTTTGTTCTGAATAATTCCTGAAAAGCAGGTTAGGGAGGGAAGAGTTGGCAGCACCGACACCATCACCAGGTGCAGAAAAACGAAACTGTAAAACAGTCAGTGCAGCTTCAGACCTCCAGGAGATTAAACACAAATAACAATGTTGATCAAATAACATGTTTAAATCAGAATAAAAAATCATTTATGATCACAGCTTTCTCTGCTGATCAGAACTTTTTGACAGTTTACTGAGCAAAAATAAGTTATTTAATGTATCCACTCCTCAATAATCAGACTTATAGCTGTATAATAACAGGAAACTATTTGACTCTAACCCATTAAAGTATATACCCATAGTTTCATGTATTTTTTTACAGAATTAACCTCTCATTTTTACAAACACTAAATATCAGTTTGTGCTCATTTTCATTCCTTTATCCAGACATATTTGTTAATCTGATCTTCTCTAAGCTGAACTTTAACTCCTGACATGAAGCTACAGTTACAGAGCTCATCAATCTCTGTTCTAACAGTTGACTCACCTGCAGACAGAACAACATGGAGGACAGCAGCAGATAGAGTCACCACAACAATCACGTCCTTCATCTTAAACTCCACCATTAAACTGAAGATATTTACAGAAGATCTTCTTGTCTGTCCTTCATATAAAACATTCACTGTGTTAGACTAGATACAAACTGAAAATGAAACTAGTSTGGCTCTTCCTGAAAGTGAATCCTGTTGGGACTTGTCATCGTGTTATGTGAGCGATGACAAGTTCATGGTTCATACCAAGTTCTCTAAACAAACCTAAACAACAGTTTGAATGAATTGAAATGATCTGTTGGGACTTGTTGGATAGATGTGAGGTTTTATAAAGCTGAAGCTGTGTTTGGGTCCTGGTTCTGTCAGGAACAACATCCATTGTCACATGAGTTAAGTTTCTGACTTCTCTGGAGGAGGAGGAGGAGGAGACAGACAAAAATCAATGTTTTATATTTAATCTGAACGAGCAGAGTGCAGGCGAGTGTACACTTATTGTATATTCAGTCAGTACCTGTCAGCCTCACCTGATCAGGCTCCTCCTCCACAGATCAGGCCCCTCCTCCACAGAGATGGGACGGTCCAGGTCTCAGAGTAGAACCGGTCAGAGCACCAAGGTTCCTGCCATGGTTCATTCACCTGACTCATCAGTTGTCATCAAAACCACTTTAATATAATGATGAGCTATAAACTGTCAAGTTTAAATGTAGCAATGACCCAGGGTAAGTTAGTATGTAAGTTAGTAAGTAAAGTTTTATTTATAAAGCGCCTTTCACAGAAATATATTCCCAAGAATAGAATAGAATAGAACAGAATAGAATAGAATAGAAGACTCTTTAAAAGCCTGACAGCTGTACAGAGTGAGTTCATGCTGCTGACATCGTATGATTCTGTAAATAAACTCCTCACTGCAGGTAAAACAGCTCAACCACACCTGCTGCTTKTTCATCAGTCCT